ATAACTTGGTCAAATCTCATCCGATTTTCACGAGGTTTGGCTTTTTGTTCATAGTTTTTCCTCTAGAATAAACTGGCATTAAAATCTGACTAGGTAAATTTTAGTCGAAATTCATGTCAAGATCTTACCCCTTAGATTCGGATATAGACATAGGTCAAAATTTCTAACCTCCATAGCTCGGTAAAATCTCATCGGATTTTCACGAGCTTTTGCTTTTTGTTCATAGTTTTCCCTCCAGAATAAAGTGGCATTAAAATCTGACTACGTAAATTTTAGTCGAAATTCATGTCAAAATCTAACCCCTTAGATTCCTATATAGACATAGGTCAAAATTTCTCACCCCCATAACTCGGTCAAATCTCATCGGATTTTCACGAGCTTTTGCTTTTTGTTCATAGTTTTCCCTCTAGAATAAACTGGCATTAAAATCTGACTATGTAAATTTTAGTCGAAATTCATGTCAAAATCTTACCCCTTAGATTCCTACATAGACATAGGTCAAAATTTCTCACCCCCATAGCTCGGTCAAATCTCATCCGATTTTCACGAGCTTTGGCTTTTTGTTCATGGTTTTCCCTCTAGAATAAAGTGGCATTAAAATCTGACTACGTAAATTTTAGTCGAAATTCATGTCAAAATCTTACCCCCTAGATTCCTATATAGACAAAGGTCAAAACTTCTCACCCCCATAACTCGGTCAAATCTCATCAGATTTTCACGAGCTTTGGCTTTTTGTTCATAGTTTTTCCTCTAGAATAATCTGGCATTAAAATCTGACTATGTAAATTTTAGTCGAAATTCATGTCAAAATCTTACCCCTTAGATTCGGATATAGACATAGGTCAAAACTTCTAACCTCCATAGCTCGGTCAAATCTCATCGGATTTTCACGAGCTTTTGCTTTTTGTTCATAGTTTTCCCTCCAGAATAAAGTGGCATTAAAATCTGACTACGTAAATTTTAGTCGAAATTCATGTCAAAATCTAACCCCTTAGATTCCTATATAGACATAGGTCAAAATTTCTCACCTCCATAACTCGGTCAAATCTCATCGGATTTTCACGAGCTTTTGCTTTTTGTTCATAGTTTTCCCTCTAGAATAAACTGGCATTAAAATCTGACTATGTAAATTTTAGTCGAAATTCATGTCAAAATCTTACCCCTTAGATTCCTACATAGACATAGGTCAAAATTTCTCACCCCCATAAGTCGGTCAAATCTCATCAGATTTTCACGAGCTTTGGCTTTTTGTTCATAGTTTTCCCTCTAGAATAAAATGGCATTAAAATCTGACTACGTAAATTTTAGTCGAAATTCATGTCAAAATCTTACCCCTTAGATTCCTATATAGACATGGGTCAAAACTTCGCACCCCCATAACTCGGTCAAATCTCATCCGATTTTCACGAGCTTTGGCTTCTTGTTCATAGTTTTCCCTCTAGAATAAACTGGCATTAAAATCTGACTACGTAAATTTTGGTCGAAATTCATGTCAAAATCTTACCCCTTATATTCGGATATAGACATAGGACAAATTTCTCACCCCCATAACTCGGTCAAATCTCATCAGATTTTCACGAGCTTTGGCTTTTTGTTCATAGTTTTCCCTCTAGAATAAACTGGCATTAAAATCTGACTAGGTAAATTTTAGTCGAAATTCATGTCAAAATCTTACCCCTTAGATTCGGATATAGACATAGGTCAAAACTTCTAACCTCCATAGCTCGGTCAAATCTCATCGGATTTTCACGAGTTTTTGCTTTTTGTTCATAGTTTTGACTCCAGAATAAAGTGGCATTAAAATCTGACTACGTAAATTTTAGTCGAAATTCATGTCAAAATCTAACCCCTTAGATTCCTATATAGACATAAGTCAAAATTTCTCACCCCCATAACTCGGTCAAATCTCATCCGATTTTCACGAGCTTTGGCTTCTTGTTCATAGTTTTCCCTCTAGAATAAACTGGCATTAAAATATGACTACGTAAATTTTGGTCGAAATTCATGTCAAAATCTTACCCCTTAGATTCGGATATAGACATAGGTCAAATTTCTCACCCCCATAACTCGGTCAAATCTCATCCGATTTTCACGAGCTTTGGCTTCTTGTTCATAGTTTTCCCTCTAGAATAAACTGGCATTAAAATCTGACTACGTAAATTTTGGTCGAAATTCATGTCAAAATCTAACCCCTTAGATTCGGATATAGACATAGGTCAAAACTTCTCACCCCCATAACTTGGTCAAATATCATCCGATTTTCACGAGCTTTGGCTTTTTGTTCATAGTTTTTCCTCTAGAATAAACTGGCATTAAAATCTGACTCTTTAAATTTTAGCCAAAATTCATGTCAAAATCTTACCCCTTAGATTCGTATATAGACATAGGTCAAAGTATCCCACCCCCATAACTCGATCAAATCTCATCCGATTTTCACGAGGTTTGGATGTTTGTTTACGATTTGGCCTCAAGATCAAATCTGCATGTAAATCTGGAAACATGTATCCTGGTCAAAATTCATGGGATAATTGTACCATCAAATATCCTTTATAAACATAAGTCAAAATTTCAAAGTTTTCGTTCAAATCTCATCCGATTTCTATATGAATTTGGCATCAACATCTGACAATTATCAAATATCCTATATAGACGTGAATCGAAAGAAATTTAACCGCCATCCAAGCAGCATTTCGCTCATTTTTCACGCATAATGGTGAATTTGGAGAATAGCGTGATAAATATTATTTAATTGAACTTATATTAAATTAAATGAATTTATATTAGTTAATTGAGATAACTTAAAAATTCTCTTTCTCTGGTTACAAAAAAAAAAAAACTAAGAAACAAATATGATAGCCAAATTTTAGCTTACCTTGTTTGCATTTTATTTCATATTTTGCAGTTTTAAAAGTTATTGTTGTTGTTGCTTGGCAATTTTAGGCGCTGGCATTTCCTACGAAAAGATAAAAACTTTTGTTGTGCACAAGAACAAGAACTGCAATAAAAATAAGTTTTTTTTAGCCAACAAAAAATAAATAAATAAATAAAATAAAAGGCATTTTATCGAACAAAACTTTTACTTGATTTAAGGAAGTCGCAAATAAAGCACAAGTATTTTTCTATACATATATCTGAGTAGAAAGATTTGACAGTGCATAAAAGACGCACAAAAGCGTGCTACGAAATTTGTCACTCTTCAAATTTGCTGCTGTTGTTGTTGTTGTTATTCTTGTGTGCAGCAGAGGAAACATTTTGATGCATTCGTGTATGACAAGTTAAATGAACATGTTGGGTGTGCCCGAGCGGCGAGAAATTGCCAGAGAATTATAATGCCAGATAAGCCAGTTGCTGTTTGTTGTTGTTGTTGCTGTTGTTGTTGTTGCTGTTGCTTCCGCTGTCAGTGCTGACATTTTGCAACTTATGCAAAAGCAACTTTTACATGAAGTGCCAAATGTCAGCACATTTGTGTCTCATTGTCCTCGTCGTTTGTTAAATTAATGCACAGCCAACATGGCGTATACTTGTTAAATGCAGAGCAGCAACATCAACGGCAGCAACATCAACGCCAGCAACATCATCGACAGCAACAGCAGCAGCAACAAAACGCATTTGCATAGCTTAAACTCAACTTGACTTGGAGAATTCTTTAATGCAGAACTCAAATGCAGTTTTTCTTTAGGTTCTCATTCAGTTTTACGGCCAATGTGAGCCTGGTGCTGATTACTTGAATACCCTGTTTAAAATGCATGAAAGGTTTTAATCTGTCCAATTCTTTAATTATCTATACTGATAATAAGCGCTATTTATGTTCTCACTTCCACACGCAAATCTTGTTTAATTCAATTTTGTATGTGAATATATGTATGTATGTATTATGTATGTATGTACATACATATGTATGATTGTATTCATGCATGTATTTATTTATATATGTGTTTATTTTTCTATACATGTATGGTCTATTTTACCAAATACACACAAAGCTTATCTCTTGCTGCTCTATTATATAAAGAGTATCGTATTTTAAATGTTGCCCTTCTACTCGATTCTCACGAATTCAAGTAGCACCCTTTAGTTTTCATGCTCTCTCTCTCTCTCTATCTCTCTCCCTGTCTACAACTCCATTTCTCTATCTCATTTAAATTCCTATGACTTGCATTTACTTTGATCTGATGTATATAAAATAATAGTGCATGGATATGTGAGTTATTATTTGCCCCAAGGTTACCCCAGGTTTGCACGTTTTCGTTTTAACATTTTACAGAGTATATTTAAGTCAAGCACACTTAAAACATGCTCAAGGCGTTATTCGCTTATTCTTTTCTGAATGTTGCATTTGCTTTGTTATCCACAAACTGGCAGCCTTTTGTGCCTTGGCATTGTTGCTGCCGGCTGCCTTAATGTAGGTGAATGGCGCCAAGAGCAAAGAAAATATAGAAAGAGAAGCCAAAGTCGGAGTCGGAGTCGGAGTCGGTTGAAAAGTTGGCAGCTGTGGTCGGGCCACAACCTTAACCCAATTTGCAACAGCTTCGCTGGCAATTAAAAAGCACTTTTTGGCTAGGAAAAAGCAGAAGAAAGCGTTTCCCTAGCTTTAAAATTAATATGCTGAAAATCTGGAAACGATTTGCAACTAATAGGCAAAGGCTTAAAATTGCATTAAAACTTTTACAAGCTGCACACGCACATGCATGCTTGTATGTGTGTGAGTGTGTGTGTGCTTGAGTGTGTGTGCGATGTGAAAATTCAATAAGCTGAAAGTTGCGGGCAAAAAGTTTGCAGCCGCCGGCGGCCTTTAAGCGCACAACTTGAGAGCTCTTAAAGCAAAAGTTTTAGAAGAAAGAGCAGAAATATTTTACGGACAAAACAGCAAGTAAAGGCATGAAATCATAAGCATTAACCAAAAGTGATCAAAAAAAAAAAAACTTCTGGCCAAGGAAATGGATTTGTTTGGCAACTTCTTTTTAACAAGCTCGTCCAACTCTTTCCCAACCCTTCCCCAGATGCTGTAAGGTGTTTGAAGGCATAAAACCCATGGCCATGCAGGATATACGACTACGTCTCGAGCCGCAACACAGTACAGCCGCGTTCTCCAACTCGCCAGCAGCAGCAGCCGCATCCAACGCGGAGACAACGCTCATCGAGACGGGCGACACGACAGGCCCAGCAACAGGCTCGCCCACAGCTCGACCCCTGGCTCAGCTGCTGCCCGAGCTAAGTTTCAGGTAAGTTGTCGCTGCTTTTCAAGTTGGTCACAATAAGCAAAACTCGCACCTATTCACGCAGCCCACCCACAACGGGCGGCACAACAGGCCCAACACAGCAGCATTTCTACCATCAACATCAACATCATCATCATCAGCATTCGCATCCGCATTCGCATTCGCATCCGCATCCGGTTCAGCCGCGTGCCTCGCCGCGGCATCACGTGGAGCAGCTGCAGTTGCTGCACAGCAGCCATCACGCACACAGCCATAACAATGGGCAGGAGCAGCAGGTGCCACGTTCGCCCAGCTCCGAGGAGGACAATTCCCCAACTGAAATGAATAATTGTCGTCGTTTGGTTGATAAACCCCCTCTGGTGAGTCAAACTTCTACACTATTTCGATCGCAGAGAATCTTATACACAAGAGCTTTAAAATATGGGCAAATGCTCATCAACATTAAGGCACAATATTATATAGACGGTATAGGGAAAATCATATATAAGCTACTTTCAATCAAAACCCAAAGCTATCTAATACTTGCAAGTGCATCTAATCTTCGACAAGCCCAGACAAGCTATTCATTCTTGTTCTATGAAATATTGCAATCTGTTCTCATTGTGCTTGGAATCGTGTCCTTTTTGTAGCATAAATCTGCTTACGCTGATGATTTCAGTGGTTGGTTAGCAGAAATCGATTCAATTTGAATGCCAATGCAGATGCCAAGTCAAATAAACTGCCAAATTGAAATGAAAGTCGGGCTAAAAATGAACAAATTGCAACAACAAGAAAAAGTTGCATACTTTCAGGAGTCTTACCCAAAGCAGCGCAAGGCAGCAATAGTTGCTGAAAGTAAAAAACTTTCAAGAAATATCATTAATATTGGCAACTTGGCAAATGTATATTGAGAGCGACGCGAGTGCCACGGGACTTGCGAAATATTCAAGAGAAATGTGTAGCAAAATGAAGCAGTTGAACAAATTCCTTTTGATAAATATGATGTTATTTAAATGGTTATAATATTACTCTCAACTTTATCTGAGCTTGCTGTTAAAGCTAAACTGCCTGTCAAGCCGCCATTCGCATTTACATGTGCTTGTTAACTAATCTGATGTCAAAATTTAACTAAAATTAAGCATATATGGCAGCATTGAGGAAGGCCTGTTAACTTATCGAACCTATCGACTATTGTTATCGACACAGAGTTGCCACACTTCCAAGTAATTTTAACATTTTCTCTGACAAGAGGATAAATACACTTTGCTTATAAAAATAAGTTTCTATTTGCTATTATTTTTTTTTACTATTAGGTTTCCCATTTCTAACTATCATGAACATTTAACATGAACCTAAAGCATCTTTCAGCTGGCACAGTTTGTTTTCAGTCTCTCTCTCTCCCTCTCTCTCTCTCCCTCTCAATTTATTTACTCAAAAGCAGTAGCTTTTTTTAATGCACTTCAACTTAAGTCAAGTTTATACAGAAAAGCAGCTTTAGCTTCAAGAGCGACAAAAACTTTAGAAGCTTTAACTGGCAAACAAATTGCCATCACTCGAAAATCAAATGCAATTTAGCAGGCACTTCGAACGGCTTGGTACTCGGTGTACTCGAAAAATGTTTGCCACTAAACAAGACCCAAAAGCGTTCATTAAATTAATTTGCAAAAATGCAAATTTTCAAGCTAACGGCACTTTGGCACGCGCCGCCGGCAATTCCAACAAGAAACAAAAGCAGCGTCAACAGCAACAACAACAACAACAACAACAACAACAAAAACAACAACTGGAAAGCTGAAGTGCAACGCGCCATATTCTAGTGCATTCTCACACGCACACACACACACGGACACAGAGGGCCGCCCGCTGAGAGAGCGAGAGAGTGTGTGTGTGTGTGTGTGTGGGAGATGAAAAAGTTGCAGCAGGCAAATGGCAGCCAAATGCCGTTAACTTAGTGACTTTATGACACATAAATCGCAGCAACAATGCCGACAAAACCCTCTCGCTACAAACACACACACACACATATATATATATATATATATATATATATATATATGTATGTATATGCTATAGGCCTACAGCTGACAGCTGCAGCTGTCGGCAACGGGCGAAACTTTGCTGCCAACTAAAAGACAGACAAAAGATGCAGCGAAGGAGAGAGAGAGAGAGGAGTGCAAACAGGACAAAATCAAAAGGCGGCACAACCAACTTAGAATGCACTAATTGAGAGTGATCGACTGTGTAATACCCTGTTTGCAAAAGAAAAGATAAAAGTAAAAAGCAAATTTCACAATATTCAAGGTTTAACGTAGGAAAAAATAGGAATGTTATCAACTCGACTAGCACACACCCTAGAAATATAAAATTATATAAATAATTGCTGTTAAATATTGAGGCTTTAGCAGAAATCAAATGCCAGCACAAATAAGAAGTTTGATAGTAAAGAGAGAGATTAAAAAAATCGCAAGTGAATGTTTTTAATTAAGAGGATGAAGCTATTTAAAATGTGACATTATCCCCAAAAGGGTCTTAGGAGAGAAAATACTATAGATATAATTTAGTAGTTTCGGTTTATAGTTTATAGACAAACAGATAGAGAGAAAGAGAGATAGAAAGATACAGAGAGAGAGAGAGAGAGACATGATCAAAGAAATAAACAACATTTACCCAAAAGGATAACAAAATTCTGCCCATTACAAACGTACCATAATCGTCGACATACCCCATTTGAGTCATTTGTTAATTACAGGGTATTCAAAAAGGAGTACTTTACGAATGCTTTCAACTTAGACACGCCCCCGGCCCAATTGTTCCATTGTTCCCACAATGCCTACTACCTTTTGCCTGTTCTTGCCGCACTCTTCCTCTTGCCCCCGTTCGCCTCTCGTTCCACATCTTCTTGTCTATTCTCTCTTTGCGTTTGCCTTGCATTTTTTGTATATTTACGCCTTTTTCTAGCAGTTGTCAGTTGTCGGATTTGTCGAGCATCGCCTGCCGAGTGCCACTTGGGCGCATTCTCTTGCACTTGCTACGGATTTTGCATATTGCGATTGTCTTTTCTCCAATGTCATTAGCATAATGGGGCCATTAGGTTACCCCACCACGCCCCCTTGCCCCCGGCTGCCCCTCTGGCACTGATTGCATACTTAACGATAAAAACAAGTGCCGACTGCCAATTCAATTAGCTGCAATTGCAAAATGATTCACAGTTGGCAGCAAAGTAACAAACTCTTAACTCAAAAAGAATTGAAGCACATTCTATTATTGAATCTTTTACTGGGTAGAAGCTAAATAAAGTGTATCTTTTAGCGTGTTGTTCGATTTGATGACTAGAAATTGATCACAATTAAGAAACTTAATAGTAATAACAATAAATTTAAAAACAAATTGCCTACTTTGAATATAAAAATCAAACATATTTGAAAAATACATCATAATTTCGAGGAAAGTTCTACAAAACTTGTCTTTAAAGTGAAAGATACTTGACCTATATATAATATTCGAAAAGCTATATGTCAACCCTAAAAGATTTGCTCAAAAACCGGTTTTCGATATCGATTTTTATCGATTGCTTGAAAACAAGGCATGCATTATCGATTATCGGAAACAAACTCGTACAACTTCGATTTAAAATAGGTTCAATTTAGATGAAGAATCACTCTAGAGGTTATTTATTCCCAAAATCTATAAACTTAAACAAATCTCTAAAATCTTAAAGTCCACGTAGAGCATTCACCATAAATTTGTGGATTTCTCTTTGTAAAACTTTACCTAATACCGAGCAAAGTAGTGTTAAAGAGTGTACGCTAGTTAAATCACATCCTTATGCATATTCAACAGCTGCAAGTTCTTAGAAAATCCACATAATATTTGTATAGAAAGCTCCCATTTGTAAGTATAACAAAATGGACTCTGGTTGCCTTTCCAGGAAGTTCAACAGGCAGCGGCCATTGAAAGCAGCCACATCAAAAGAGAATATTTTGGCTCCGACCATTTTGGCAGCTACATAAAATCAACATAATTATAACAAATTAGGTAAATAACTTATAAGGCCGAGGCTGGTAGGCAGGGGAGGGTGTGATTGTGGGGCCTGCCAGCAGCATTCAACACTTGGTCGGAACTGTCGACTAATTGGAAGCGCTTTAAATGGCGCCCTGAAAGCACGTAAAACTTTCTGCTTTAACTCATTTCAAAGTAATTTACCGCAGCCCAAAATGAAAACAACTTGTAGGGCAAGTTGTGGGGCTGCCAAGTACTGAAAGTACCGACTACATAGTTAACATTTCATTGCTAACCAAAAATGTTACACATCAATTTAAGGCGGTTGCTTGTTGCTGTCATGCCCTGTATGCACTTGAAGTGGGGTATATTGCAGCTGTACAATCGGGGAAATAGATCATTTTTTCGATAACACAACATTTTTCACAAATAAATCGATAAATATCGATTATTAGTTAAGGCTTTTGGAGCATATCTTCTATTTAACCAGATATGAGTAAGCCGAAATTGGCATAAAGTTCCCTGTTTAAGATATCATTCAGCTCATTTTTTCGATAGCACTACATTTTTTACTAAAATCGATAAGTTTCGATTATTAGCAACGAATTTTTGAGCACATCTTCCATATTACAACAGAAAAATACAATAAAATTTTCATAAAGTTCCTCGTTTAAAATATCAATTCATTATTTTTTTTGATAACTTCAGATAATAAACAAAATTCGATAATTATCGATTACAAGCTCTTTCTTTTTGGGTATATATTCTAGACTATATGAGATGAATGGCTCACATTTGGCATATAGGTTCTCGTTGAAAATATCAACCAGCTCACTTTTGCGATAACCCCAGCTACTTTACTAAAATCGATAAATATCGATTATTGATTGAAGGTTTCAGAGCACATATTGTAAGCTTTAAGAACCTAATGCGCCAAATTTAACCTACAGAATCTTGATCAAGACTAATTTTTTCGATAACGGAATTTTGAGCCTATATTGTAGACCATAAGAAAAGCACATGCGAGGGTATCTCCTCGTCGAGCACTGCCAACCAACTTTGTCGTGGTTTTGTTGTTCTGTCAAACTAAAGTGATTTCGTTGTTAGCTGGCTTTGTGGCCAGGCTGAAAACAACGGCAACTTTGATTATAAAATGGTTTCGCAACTGTTGAGGGCCAAGTAAATTGCAATTATCGCGTTGCGTCGACAACAACAACAAGAACAACATTCTGTCCAAATTGGCAGCCAAACACGAATCCGAGACATGCAAATATACGTAACAATATGCCCATTCCCTTGACTCATTTGCAGGTTAAACGCCTCACCATGGGCATTGGACTGCTGCGCGGCACCGAGGACAGCCGCCCGCTGGTGCACAACACCTGCTCCTCCTCGCTCAACTCGGGCTCATCGCAGACCATTTCGGATGGCTATGTGAACGAGGCCATCTGCGAGCCGGATAAATATGTTGCAAGCAAATTCGGTGACTCCTGTCGTCAATCGCTGACGGCCCTGGAAACGGCCACCCAACGGTTACAGTCGGAGCTGCCCAACAGCAAGAAATATTTGCGTGAGACGTGCAGCGGTAAGAATCTATCGAATTTCAGTTATTACAGGTGAAAAATGGGTGAAATGGTGAATGCTTTCTCTTACATCTGAGCGATATGTAAGAAAATTAATGTATGTCAAATTTTACGCAAAAATTTGATTTAATTTCATCATCTTATGAACAAATAATAAACGAAGACTACATATTGTACATTAAGTTTCACTTTGGAAGGTGAAAAATGAGTGATGAATGTCAAATTTCACTCTGTAAAAGGAAAACTTGCAGATTAATTTTTAATTTGTACCAAGTTGTGAAAATTTGACAAATGGTGAATGAAGACCACATATACTATACCCAGAGATCCACTTAAAAAGGTGAAAACTAATTGAAGTTCTAATCTTTGTCAAATTCCACTTATATGGGTGGGAACCTGTTGAAAGATTTGTTTTTTCAATATTACGATATTAAATTTATAAATGTGAAAAATGGATTTAAGTTTTACTCTTTTAAAGGTGGAAAACTGTTTAGTCATTTCATTGATATGAAAACAAATTAGGTTCCACAGAGAGAGGTGAAAATTTGATGAAAGATGAACGAAGACCACAAGTTCCACTTAGAAAGGTGAAAAATAAGTGAAACTCTGCACGTGAAATTCCACTTATAATGGTTAAGCATATGCAAATTAATTTGAGACGTAACTAAGACTGACACCTCCATTTTTCTAGATTAATAATAGTTTTCGAAATGGTGTTCAATGTATTTTTGGCAATCCACTAGTGCACGTGGAAATGGGAAACCAAGTTTGTGTGGCGAAAGTTCAAGAAGAGAAACCTTGAACCTTGAAGCTAATTTATTCTAATAACATCTTTTTTATCTTCTCTCTCTCTCTCTCTCTCTCTCTCTCTCTCTCTCTCTCTCTCTCTCTCTCTCTCTCTCTCCCTCTCTCTCTCTCACTCTCTGCCTTTTTCTCTCTCTCTCTCTCTCTCTCTCTCTCTCTCTCTCTCTCTGCCACAGCAAACTCCAGTCCGAAACTGTTTGCGGCGAATTCACCATTTCGCCTGGACAACCTGAGCCTGGCCGAGCAGCAGGAGCTGAAAGGCGCCGCCTGGTATCAGGCGGGCATACCCAGAGAGATTTCACTGGAGGTGCTGTCCCGCCAGAGTCCGGGCGCCTTTCTGGTGCGCCAGAGCAGCACCAAGCCGGGCTGCTTTGCGCTGTCGCTGCGCGTGCCGCCGCCATCGCCGCGCGTCGCACACTATTTGATACTCCGCACGCAGCGGGGCTACAAGATCAAGGTAAGAGTCTCAAGAAGTTCCCACTTATGCAAACACTTTTAATCCCTTCTAATCCAACAGGGCTTCACCAAGGAGTTCAGCTCGTTGCGTGCTCTGATAACGCATCACTCCGTGATGCCGGAGCTGTTGCCGGTGCCGCTGACACTGCCGCGTCCGGCGCACATACGCGCCCAGACGCAGGCCTACGGGCATGGGAATGGGAGCGGAAGCGGGAGCGGGAACGGAGGCGACTTTGAGATGTACGGCTCGCTAAATGATTTTCGCAAAATGATGGCCGATTTGAATGTGTGATCGGACGCGGACGCGGGCGCGGGCGGGCTGCGGGTGCGGGTGCGGGGCCGCATCTAATTAATTAAGTAATTATGTGACATTGATTGAATTAAGCGCGCGCACACACATGTTGTCTGGACTCGTGTCAGGAGGCGGGTCTGCTGCGGCCCGCTGTCCTGTCTGGACAGGATAACAATCTGTTTAATTTGCTTAATTGGCTGTGCTGGCGGTTGACGTGGCGACCAAACGCAAAAATCCACCAGAATCCAACACACAAAACACAAGAAAGAACGGCAAGCTACGGCACACCGAAGATTAAATACTCTACGAGCATTGTGAAGCTTGCAAATGGGCAGCTTGCTGAAGATTTCTTGAAAGACACAAAAACTGACTTTTACAGCCGATTCTAGCAGATCTATATGTTATAGTAATGTCTAGCGATCTATATGATATAGTCATCCGATTTTGAAAAGATATTGCTTATATGGGAGATGTATGGAAGTATTTCTAGTATATTGTTCAAGATTTCTTGAGGAATGTACAAGTTTTCCAAATAAGAACTTTATTTTCGACCAATCATTCCTAGGGCAGCTTTATGATATAGTCTTTCGATCCGACAGCTTTAAGATTAAGAGTTTAGTTTGCATAGAAAGTCGACAGATATATCTCGGCTCTCGATCCTGATCAAGAATAAAGACACTCTTCTTCCAGGCTTGACACCCTTTTTCACAAAATTTGAATACCCTCCGAAAGGGTATAAAAAGTTGTAAACATTTTTGTGAAATTGATAATGAAAACTGGCGTTGGGCGGGGTTAACGGTGGGCGGAGGGAGCATTAACACACACATGGCCATAACATAAAAAAAAAATTGGTAAAAAAAAAAAAACAAAACAAAGGCAAAAATATGCAATATGAAATTCATATGAAGCAAATATTCAAACGCACATTACAATTATTTTCAACATATGTATGCCCTGTTCGTATAGTGAAGTGGGGTATATGGGATTCGAGCCGCCAGCTTGTCTACAGAGTATAAATAAACCCGAATATATTAGGCCAAGAAAGACTTCTTCAGACAGATTTCAATTATATGAAAACTCTAAACAGAGTATTGTACAGTCGGTATTATGCGTCTGCAATGTTTCTACTCTGTTTTTTTTCTGTTTTTGTGTCCATTTGCCGGTGAGTGGCAGCTGCATATTTGTTGCCACAGACGCAATCCTGAATAGCTTGCAAATGGGATTAAATGTTAATGTGTTGGATTTTTTCGGGGTGCCGGACTTTTTGCGAAATGTTTCAGCAGCTGCCAGTGTTTATTTAGTAAACAAAATAAAACCATCAACAAAAAGAAAAGTATATTTAGTTTTTAGCGAAATCTATAGACGTATTTGATACAAATATTCATATGTATTGTATATGTTAAAAAAGAATCGAAGCAAAAAAAAAAAATTAAATGTGTAATATTAATCGATTAAGTAGCTAGGTTTATACAACAAATTATGCATTATGTTAGCTATGTACTGTTTGTAATTGATGTAATAAATAATATATATTGAAGAATTGCTTGAAAACAATTTTAAATTTGGCTTCTTTCATTTAAGTGTTTTTCAACACTTGAAAACGTACATGCATATTTATTTAAATATAAAAAGAAGCTAACATTATGCACATTGTGTAAGCCTACTGAACACCCACAATATATCTAAAGCATGTTTAAGCTTTTCAAACGTTTGCTTGAATTCATTACATTTTAAATTTGCCGCCATGTTAGCTATTTAAACAGCTGACTGGCGAGGGCTGCATTGCTAAATTTCCAACTCCAACTGGTGCACACTTGCACAACGATAACAATCGCGGCGGCAGTATCGATAGTAACTATCGCTTGGCTTAACATGTGCAAAACTGTTAAAATGAAAACAATGTTAAGCTTAACAGAATGAAAATAACCACTCAACGAGTAGGCCGCACGCGCTGCTGGTATTGGTGCTCGCGCTCGTCTGTAAATTGTTTAAATAAAAACCTAAATACACCAAGCAGCGAGTCATCTGCGCTCAGTGGTACGCCGGCTGCTCAAAGAGAGAGTTCCCTATTAGCGGACAAAATCAAGAAAGTGTAGCGCGTGCGTTAAAAGGCTGGCCAGCGCATAAATACAAACAGCAACAACAACAACAACAGCAAAAAGTAAATGCATTAAATGCAATATTAAATGTGCGCTATTCATTGAATAAATTAGAGAGTGTGCTGTGTGGAGTGCGTTTAACTGTAACTTTCTGGCGGCATATAGGAAATTTTTTCCTGCCTTTTTTGCCACATGTATTTTTATCGTATTTGTGTACTTTATCGATTACGTCGGCGCGCTCTCAGCATAAAATGAGAGAAGATGAAAGCCCATCGAATGGGCGAGAAGATGAATGTGAAGCAAAACGCGTGTTTTGCCTTTATTTTTTGCCAGGGTGGTGCGACAACATAACACATACAAACACGCACACAGGCAGACGCACACATGCACGCCTGCATATACATATGTATGTATGCGTGTATGCATGTATGCATGCACATGAAAACCTTTGCGGCAAAAAAAAATTTCACTAGAAATTTTGAAAGCGTTGGGCCGCAAAAAAATGAAGAAAAAAAAAACCGGATATGATACGCCAAAGCTTAGCTTGCTAACGAAATGAAATGAAATTACCTGAGTGTAGCTCTGTGCAAGTGTGCCTGTGTGCGTGTGCCTGTGTGTGTGTGTGTGTGTGTGTGTGTGTGTGTGTGGGCTCGTGTGCGTAGCCAAACTGTCGCGTGTCTGGCATGCAATTAGACATTCAAATACGTGCATGCATATGTATGCTTCTCTAATTGTTATTTAGTTGGTTTTTTTTTTTCCTGCTTGCTTGCAACCCTCTGCCCGGCACCTGCCAGCGTCGCTAATATTTTATATTTTTTTCGCATTCCGCTTTGTTACGCACTTTAGTTTTTTAATTTAGTCGGCCTGCTGCTCAAAGCTTTTTGCGGCCGCACGAGACACGCGACGGCGCTGCGACTGAAATATTGAGAGAATGAATGAATGTGAGACGCGAGCAGCAGCCGCCAGATTGTCGCACGCGCGACTTACCTCTCAATCGCCTACTCCTCCTTAGTTCCTGGCGCTTTTTAACACTAATGCGACAAGTGCATGTTGGCGACTGGGCGAAGGTGTGAATGGCGGAAGATGAAAAAAGAAGAAGAAAAAAAAGCCGCCGCCGCTGCCGCCATTCATGAATGAGTTGCATTTGTGCGCGTGTATGTGTGTTAAGAGAGCAGCAGCAGCCACGCTCGCTCCCACTCCGTTCTCTCTCTCTCTCTCTCACTCTTGCTCTCTCGCTTGGGACGTGTTTATGCAAAATCAATGGACCCAACTGTGGAAGGTCACTCGCCGAAAGACAAGAAATTTATGCGAGACAAGAAACGCGCGCTTTCTACTTGACGCGGGTCAAAGTTTAATGTCAACACAAATAAAGTTTATAATCTTTGAAAAGAAATAAAAAAAAAAAAATGGGAAAATAACAAATTTAATACTCGTGCATGCCCGTGATTTTTGATAAGCATTCAGCAAAGTCTCTATAATACCTGTCCTCTATTGTTTTTAATCTCTATAGAAACTCACCACACACAAGCACACACACACACACAGACACACACGTGCGCCACTACTAACCCATACAACAACAGCCAGCACAATGATCAACATGGACATTAGCGTAACGCCCAACTATTCCTATATCTTCGATTTCGAGAACGATTTCATACACCAGCGCACACGCAAATGGATGCTGGAGAACTGGACCTGGGTCTTCTACTATTGCGGCATTTACATGCTGGTCATATTCGGTGGACAGCACTTTATGCAAAATCGGCCGAGGTGAGTTTCTGTTTACCGTAGCATATGTGTGCATGTACAGTGAACACTCGCTACGGGAGCTGTCGCAGCAAAACTTCGTACAGAAAAAAAGTGATATTCTTTTGAAAAAAAATGAAAATTTTTTAGAAAAAGTACTTTTGTACAAAAAAACAACAGAGAATTCTCATTTAAATCAAGATTTAAAGTTAATTAATTTGCGAATTTTTTGATTAAATGAATATTTTGAGTTTATTTAATCATTCTAGCCCTGTTTGCCCATATCCTCGGGATTTTTGGCATACATTTTTCTCTTCTCTTTAAAAAACCGCTGATTCCAGAATGAATCTACGTATTTTATAGACTTTTTAATTCTTGAGTTCAATTTTTGTAAAACTTTTTCTGTTTGAAAAATTGTTTCTCACTTTAGGAATAGATTTTTTTTAATGATGTTCTGCTAACAGTAAAGCTATCCGTTAGTGGAGTTTTCACTGTAGTACTTAATAGAAGTACAGTCAAAAAGTTGTCCTACCAAGAGAGCTGTTCGTTTATAGAGCTTTCACTGTAGCTAAAAAGAAGTACAGTCAAGAATAGGCTCTACAAAGAGACTTGTTCGTTAATAGAGACTTCACTGTAGCTGAATAAAAGTACAGTCAAGAATAGGCTCTACAAAGAGATTTGTTCGTTGGATGAGACTTCACTGTAGCTAAATAGAAGTACAGTCAAAAAGATGTCCTACCAAGAGAGCTGTTCATTTATAGAGCTTTCACTGTAGCTAAATAGAAGTACTGTCAAGAATAGGCTCTACAAAGAGTGCTGTTCGTTAATAGAGACTTCACTGTAGCTAATTGAGAGCTCTTGACTTGCATTGCTTAATTCTGCATTCGTTCACTTTCTGTTTAAACTAACTTTTGGTATCTCTTCTGGGTCAAAGTTGATCCATTTGTTTGCATCAAAAACATTCCAAAACTTGAGACCCTGCAGCCCCCTTCAGCTGCCCCTTTTGCCACGCCCATTTGTAAATTGAAAAGCCTCCCACATTTTGCACTCCAATTTAAATTCATGGATATCAAATCGGATTTATAATGGACATATTGATTTTATGTCTCGCCGAAATTAATATGAATACATTCATTATATGAATGAATCTTAAATGAATCGTTAATTTTCTTGAAAGTACTTGTATATAGATTTGTTGTACAATTGCCTCGAAAGAAACTTAAGAATAATTGCAAAAATGACATGATGAGGCGGCGTGGCGTCGAACTAGCTAGCTGGTTCAACGCCTGCTGCCAGCGAAACTTGTGCTGCCTTGTGAAGCCGGGTAATTTCCTTCAATAAATATAAATAAATGCCTTTAACTTTAATAAATGCATCAAGTTTGCTGTCAAGTCAATTTAATACCGATAAACATTGATAAATTGGAATGCGAATTCGTGTCGGAATTTGTTATCTCTGGACACAAAGTACAGACGTTTCGCTTGTGAACTTTGACCTGGGCGGGCTAATAAAAACTTATCTGCCTCGCCATATGCAGATTATATTATTATAATGCCGTAATATGCAGTAGCTTAACCAGAATTACATTTGCGAGGCCCAGGCCCACGCTCAATTCAAACAAATCGAACAAAGAGCCACGGCAAATGCCAGAACTTTGCTGCTAAATATATATATATATATATATATATATATATATATATATATATATATATATATATATATATATATATATATATATATATATATATATATATATATGGCATAAGTACCAGATGGAATGTTTATGCACACTTTCATGTGTGCAATTTCAATGGAAGCCCGTACAGCTGTTTGCCTCTACACGATATTACGTATACGTAACAAATAATTAGTTGTAAGTTAGTTAATCTTCAGCTGCCGTTAGTCCCTCGCTCATTAGAAATTCCCCTTGCCACGCCCTAATTGAAGAAAATTATAGTTAAAGCACATGGTCTATTACGCCCAGTTAGGGTCCGATCACGTTCACAATCAGAGTCCCAGCAATCCACACAAATAAAACGCGTTGCATGTCCAAAAAAAAAACGGAATACGGAAAATTGTTTCAATTTTGTCAAATTTTCAAAGCTTTCCCCTCGCATTTTTTGCACAGTTAGTTTGCCTACGTGAATTGTTTGATGACATGACATCCATATATGGGCTTATCATGAGATTTGCATTGAAACGAACTCGTTTTCTATAACAAATGGCATGCAATCAACTTTTTTGCGCAATTTTATTCGAAATATATAGTATTTCACTTTAATTTCCACACATTTTTCACCCAGAGTTGTGGAATGGAAGTGAAGCAAAATTGAAAGCATTTTCTTTTGAGTGACATTTTGCTGTTGTCGGGTTCTATAAAAAAAATCCAAATCCAAATCTATATATGCATATATTTTTTTTAGGCTTTTTCATTTCTCTTCAATTTTCACTCGTTTTTCACACGGACAAGTGGATTTTGGAGTACTTTTGTAAAGTTTTTTTCAAATATTAATTTCGCAGAGCTGCACAACTTGTCTTCCACTCATTTTTCACCCAAAGAAGTGGAATATCAAAAACGTCTTTCACCTGTTTCTCACGCTTCTTGGTGAAATTGCACAAAAGCGCCAGGAAACTGTGACTTTACAGCTCTCGAGCTCTATAAATTAGACACCCAGATGTTCATATATACATAGGTTTTTTTCCACATAATTCCCTATATATATAGATTAATTCTACTATTAGAACAAAACTAGAAGACTTTAATTGCTTTTAAAACGTTTCGTTTGTTGTCAGAAACTACTGCAATTCCGATTTGCCCTCCGTTTAATACACTTTCTTATCGCAATCGTTTCGTCTGTCATAACACATTTTTCAACTTATTACACACGGCCCATCAATTCTTCCGAACGAAAAAAAATAAATAAATAAATATGTTGACGCACTTTAATCAAATGTCTTATATAATAATCAGCTGAAGCGTGGCGCTCGAGACAACTTGAGACCGAACTACACGCTTCTATTTGATTGTCGAATCCAATGATTCCGCCCAAAAGGGGCTTGGCTCTACGCCCAGATCTGACAACGGTGACAACATTGCGGCTTTTCCAAAAATAAAAGTAAATATATATATTAAGTCTTTGTTGTTGCTTTACACTTAAAATACCGTTTCAATATTGACACACATGGACACACGCGGACTTGGTACTGAGAAAGGTGTCAACTCCCGGGTTGGAGTGGGACTGTGAAAACGATCTGCGTCAGCAAAGGGCTAACAGACAGAAGATAAAAAAGAAAGGGGGGAATTTAACACGCTCTGAGATCATCTGCACTGGCTTTTTATTATTGGTTTTTAGCACGTTGCAGCTTTAACCTTTGGCCCAACCCAACGACTTTTCACCTGAAAAACCTGAATTTTCAAAGAAACTTTCCTCTGGATCTTAAACGAGTTCTAAATACGAAGTTTTGCGAAAGTTCCTCCAAATTTACTTCGCAAACGCGTTGTACTAATCCTGCGTAGCGTAGATATTCGAGCGTTGAACTAGCAAACAGCAAGTCGCTGGTTCAAACTCCCCCGCAAATTGCTCAAGATCAAACGTGCAACAACAAAAACACGTGCATTTTTAACATTAACTCTTGTAAGCCGCTCGACGCCGGGTATTCTGCCCAAGTACATATATATATATATATATTAGGGAGACGCGCCTGTTATCAGCCCGGGCAGCCCATGTGCTGGGCCGCGCTCTCTTATCAGGGGAATTCAACACAACTTTCGGGTCCGGCAAACTAAAGAATTGCGACAAAAACAAAAAGCAACATTCAACTGGCTGTCGTAATTGTTTATGATATCATTAACCATGATTCACGATGGGGGTAAATTATATATAGTAATTCGATCACAGGTTTTAAAAAAAAAATGTACCCCTACAGTGAACGCTCGCTAATGATAACCGACAGAAACGAGATATGGAAGCTAAGAATTCTTGTTTTGAAGAATTTTTGTTTTGTTTTTTAACATAAACTTCGACTTTTCACTTTTAAATGGGAATTTGTCGCAATTTGCAATGTACTCTACGACCGAGTGTTTACTGTACTAAAGTAGTATATGTTATGCTTGAAAGTCTCGTATAAACAATTTTTAACTTCTTGAATTACAATTATAAACAAATCCTTAAGTTAGATTCTTTAGAGAATATCTAAAACTTATTTTTTTAATCGTGCATATTTTACACATTCTTCTCCCTTCAACTTATCTATACTCAACTTTAAATATGATTTGAATAAAATTTTAAGTTATTTCATTGAATTACAATTAGAATCGAGAACTGAACTCAGAATCTCTCAATTATTTTTGGAATTTTTCCCAGCTTTAACAGTTTTTGTTCTCTTTTGAACTTATCTTATTTTTGGATTTATTCAATTAAATATAATTGAAAATAATTAACTGGAATGAGTGCACGCAAAAAGCCTTTTAATATCCATTATATCCATATTCGAATTTCTCATATTTACCTCATTTTATTCAAATTATATTTAAACTTTATGTAATTGGTGACTTTTAATGAATTAAATCGGTAACCTTGGTATTCCCCCTATTCGAGTAAACATGGTTTAGCTGCATTTACATATTTTTACACTCGTTTTCCACTTGGAGAGTCAATTCAAAGTCATTTAAATACGGCATCAGGTTAACCCCACATTTCGGTGCAGCAAGCACGACCATTCAATTTTCATATATAGTAGATGTAAATCCCTTCCCACCGGGCGTGTGTGTGTGTGTGGCACAACAAGAACATGCCAGAAGTGGGTGTGTCTCTTGCTGCTTGGCAACAGCTGGCAGTGGGGCGCTGTTGGGGCTTTACAAAGCGCAGGACATTCAATTACAACATGGCAACATTGCTGCACGCTTACACTGGCCAACATGAAATGCTAATTGGCATTGCCAGCCGCAGACACAGCCCCAAGCCCCGAAACGCAACAATAATAAATAAAATAAATAAGAGTGCTGTCGTCAAGAGTGAACGACT